AAATATTTGAGTATGTGACTCAAGATCCATCGAAACTAGTGGAGTAAAGATAATAGACTTAGCTCAAACATATACTTAAGACATGTAAACCAACCACTCCACATGATAGCTTCATCATTTTTACATCTATCCGACACAAATCGAACTTTTTCTTGAGACGTAGGAAGAGTTATGAATATAGATGTTTTTTACATTAAAATCACTCTTCTTCATCACTTATTTTCTTTTTCTTTCTTTTCTTTTCTTTTTCTTCAATCATTCATTTTTTTTTCCTTCATCTTGTGTTTTTCTTGCACAATGTAAACTCCGACTAGACGAGGAGGTAACTAAATCATAAAGTGCGTCCCAAACACTTTGTGATGGAGATACAGATTCAGCCAGCTTGAATGGAAGACGGCAAATAGTAAAAGAGGCTGTATGTGGTGGACAAAAGTCTACCCAAACTCCATGGGTAAACCTCTTTAAGGATAACAGAAAATTATACGAAGGTATAAAGCTGCAAAAATTCAAAAATCAGCAAGAAGAAGTGATTTTGTGTTAAACAGATGCTGAAGACGTAGACAAGTCTTGGGGATACGGTATTGTTGGATATTTTACGAGTAGATTCTTGGGAGAAGCAGCCTTATTACAATTTTATGACTCATGGAAGGTTAAGTAAAGTACCAATATTTTGTTCACTCTAGCGGATGGTTGATCTTAAAATTTTAAAATGATTCAGAAGGTTGAGTGTGCTCCATGGAGGTCCCTATTTCGTATATGGGAGACCATTAATGTTAAAAGTCATGCCCCATTACTTTGAGTTCGATGACAAAGAAATTAGTTATATGCCAATGTGTATCAACTTACCGGGGTTTCTTTTGGAGTTTTGGAACCCGAAAACCTTGGGGAAGATTGTTTCCAAAGTCGAAAAACCAATATTGACCGATAAGCTCACTTCTACAAAAGGTAGTTTATCCTATGTGAGATTACTCTTCAAATTTGATGCATCTATTGAGCTAGTGCGGTTGGTAAAGATAAAGTTGCCTAACAAAAAGTCAAGAGAACAAGAAGTTCATTTTGAACATAAGCTTAAATTTTGCTCCGCTTGCAAAGTTTTTGGCCAATCTACTCTTGGATACAACAAGAAAATCAGGTTGTAGGTACAAAACAGGTTCAAGCGGATGTGTCTATTGCTAAACATGCAATTAGGAAAATGGACAGAATATTATTGGGAATTTAGCTCCTTCGATGCATGTAGTTACACATGGGCAAAATAGCTTATTATAGAGAATCGAGCAGCAAATACAGCATGAAATGCATGTTGATGAGCCCTTCATAGAGGTGGCAAGAAAGAAGAAGGTAACAAATAAGCCCAATGGAGAGGGATGGAAGGAAAAACTCAGCACACATCAGCCGGACGTGAGGGACAATGTACATTTGGTGAATTCAATTGAAGCAAATGAATTCCCCAATTCAAATAACATGATACAAAAGGATGGAAATTGACATGAAAATCACCCATTGGAATATTAAGGGCTTGAATCTGCCCCTAAAATAACGTCATCAAGTAACACAATATTGATGTAATGGATATTTTGGAGACCAAACTTGGGCAACCAAAGTTTTGATCAAGTTATGCAGAATAAATTCAACGAACTAATGCAAGTAAATAATTTCTCCACTAATCAAAATGGCAGAATTTTGATTTTGTGGAATCCTTCAAAGGTCGAATTAGAAGTGATGGAGACTATATGAAAAGTCATCCACGGTACTACTACTTTTAAGGTAACTTCCTATACCTTTCATGTGAGTTTCTTTTACACTTTCCATACTATTGTTTCTCGATGGCTTCTTTGGAATAACATTATGGAGTTTGGAAAGAATTGTTCATTGGCTTGGATGATTCTTGGGGATTTCAATAATGGAAATAGGATGGATGAAAAGAGCAACAGAGTAGAGATGTTACTCCTTATGAATTTAAGGAATTACTAATTGTTCCCTTAATGTTAGACTCATATATATGCGATCTATGGGTTGTTTTTACACTTGGACAAACAATTCAGTGTGGAGCAAGATAGATAGAGTTATGGTGAATGCGTGGGGTGCAAGTGAGGGTCCATACTGTTGACCTAAAAAAATATGCCAACAGAATCTTGGCCTTTTCCCATCCACGTAGGCATCATCTTCACATTGAAATACCCCATTGGGAGGCAAAGGCTGCTGGGCGAGAAAAAAGGTCCGACGACCATTTCCACTCTGACAGTCAAATCAATAGTCGGATGAAAAAGAAAAAAAGTGCAAGAGAGGGAGAGGGGATTTGGCTAGGGTTAGAGATTTCATATCTCAATTGTGAATTGACCTTATATATATAGAGAAATGGAAATGGGCATAGTGGGTTTAGTGAGATGGGCCCAAGTTCAAGCCCAAGATGAGAAAACACGAGGTTGCTTAATTTAATAGGCCAAATCCAATTAAATAATCGATGTTGAGTCGACTAATGTGAGATTCCTCCGTTTGAGCATGCCGCGTAATTTATAAGTGTAACAATAGTCTCCCCAAGTTTGAGTCATATATTCATGTGCAGGTCGAACTTCAAAATATAAGCTGTCAAGTAGGCTAGGTCTTATAGATTGCCTTAGAAAAATGAGTAACTCCAATCAGCGATGACTTATGAACTGCCTCGAAAATATGCATCGATCCCAAATAGGTGAGAACGTATGAATTGTCTTGAGAATATAAACCGTTTCAATAAGTGAGGACTTACGAACTGCATTAAAAAATATGTGCGCGAGCCTAAATAAGCAAAGACTTACAAATTGCCTTGAAAGATGTCGCATATAATTTGTCAAAATTTCGGCAATATCTCAGCTATAATATGGACTTTTCCAGCCTACATTATAACATAATATCTCCATTGCACATATACAAAGTAAATAGGGATCCATTTGACCCCTCCAAATACTAATGACGATAGTGCGAATAATATTAACTTAAAATTTTCCTAGATAGAATATACAGAGAGCCTATCATGTATTATAACAGATGATATGCTGTTGATAATTAAATGAAAATATAGATAACGTAGCATATGTATTGGTTGTAATGAATATAGTGTCATGACATGCTAGCAATGATGTGACATGTGTACTTGGAAGGAATAATTTACTACATATGCTAGCAATAATAATGTAACAATACTAAGATACTAGTATCACAATAATTCCTTAAGTCCAGGTTTGAATATTTATATAATGCGTAGACTTTTGGATAGGGACGATACTTTGAAGATAAGTAGTTGTGATTAAGATGATGCAGAAATGAGACTTTGAATATAGGCACTTGTGACGAAGCTGATGCAAAGGCGATGCTGTGATTGTAAACAGCTTTGATATGCTAATATAGAGGTGATGCTCTGAATGTAAACAACTGTGATAAGTTGATGCAGAGGTGATGCTCTGAATGTGAGTAGTAGAGGCGATGCTATAAATGTAAGTAGTTGTAATAAGCTGACATCCTTACATGGGGGTGACGTATCCATGTCAAGGGCTTCTTCCATGGTATTTGATCTATCCATCTTCCATGGTATTAAGGTGGGTGCAAGTGAGGATCCATACTATTGACCTCAAAAAATGAGCGAACAGTATTTCAGCCTCCTTCCTTCCATTTGCACTCCTACGATCAAATCAACGGTTGGACGAAAAAGAAAAAGAGTGCAAAAGAGAAAGAGGAGATTTGGCTAGGGTTAGAGATTTCATACCTTAATTGTAAAATGACCTCATATATATTGAAAAATGGAAATGGGCCTAGTGGGTTTAGTGAGATGTACCCAAGTTCAATCCGAAGATGAGGTTACACGAGATTGCTTAATTTAATAGTCCCAATCTAATTAAATAATCGATGTTGAGTCGACCAACGAAGGACCCCTATGTTTAAGCACGCCACAAAATTTACAGGTGTACACACATACCCTTGCTGAATTTTTAACTTTTGGATGCCTATTTGACCATTCAACATGCATTATCTCAATTTTTGAACAAGAGGGGACTAAAAGCAAGCCGTTTAGATTCTTTAACATGTAGATTAGTCATAACAATTTCCACGACCTTGTGAAAACTAGCTCGAATGGGAAGGTTGAGGGGACTAAACAATTCATACTTTGCAAAAAAGTTGCGAAGTCCCAAAGTGATTTTTAGGGAACTCAATGTCAAGTACTTCGCTCAAATTTCAACTTGAGCCGAAACAGCCAAAAGGGACTTGGAATCCGCCCAAATTGTACATGATCAGCCTCTAACATTCAACTTGATGAGTATATTTTACTCATACTTTA